ATTATCTCCTCTCCCTTTTATTCCTCAGTAACAACCACAAAATTAGATAAAATGACCCCCTACTCTTCTCATTTAAGGACTTCTTTATTGCCTTCAACCTCAATTCTTTCTCCTTTAAATGAATATGAGAACCTGAAGACCTACAGGCCAATGGGATTAGTGACTGACGGCTTCTTCCTCCTGGTCTGCTCTCCAGAGGGAGCTCCTCTGTCCCCCAGGGTAGGGTCATAATCAGTTCAATCTTCATGCTTCGGAGACATCTCCTTTGAACAAGATCAAATGTTTCCCTTCTGAGGCCTGGTGCTCTGCTCAAAGGGGCAACAGCCCCTTCTCACTCAGAGCATTAGTGTCAATTCAGCCAGAAAGGCCAAGGCAAAAGGAGGAGGTCTGTGTGGTTAATTGTCCACCAGGCTAACACACAGCCCACTCAAGCCAGCACCTTGGGAGGGCTGATCACTCCCATAAAATGTTAAGTGCACTTTGAACCCAGGAATAAGGAGAATGAAAACTATTTTCTCCAGCCTGCTGGGCTGCAATGGGAGCTACAACTGTTTGTTTTTCTTTTTCAGATGGCAGCCATAAAGAAAAGAAGGCTTCTCCGGTGGATGCAAAGGAGATGCAGGAAAGATGGCACCAGAGTTGCTCATCAAGAAGTCAGCTTCAGCAAAGGCTGCTGGGAGCCAATCAAGACTTCTGGATCTTAAGAAGGAACCTGAGAGGACAGGACTCTGAAGCCAGTACTGTATCTGCTCCATAGGAGAATGATCCACAGAGAAAAGGAATCATAGAAAATTCAGAGGATTTACTTTTTACCATTAAAAGAGATGAAAGACTATCTTTCACCATGCACTGAACTAAGATGGAAGTGGATTAAAGATCTAAATATTAAAACAGAAACACTAAACTTATTGGAAGGTAAGTTAGGTAGAACTCTCGAAGACATTGGCATGGGAAAAGACTTTATGAACAAATCCTCAATAGCACGGGAACTAGCACAAAGAATCAACAACTGGGATCTCATCTTATTAAAAAGCTTTTACACTGCAAGAGAATCCACCAACAGAGCTAAGAGACAACCTACAACGTGGGAAAAAATTTTTACCAGCTGTTCCTCAGACAAAGGGCTACTATCTAGAATATATAAATATATAAAGAACTTAAAAAAAAATCAGACCCCCCAAATATAAAAACCTGATTTAAAAATGGGCATCTGAAATGAACAGACATTTCTCAGACAAGTAAAAGCAGCAAATAAATATATGAAAAAATGTTCAACATCCTAGTTACCTAGAGGTCCCATTTGACCCAGCTATTCCTCTGCTGGGTATCTTTCCAAAAGAATTAAAAGAATCATACCACAGTGATATATGCACACCCATGTTTATAGCAGCACAGTTTGTAACAGCTAAAACTTGGAAACAGCCCAAATGCCCATCAACTGGAGACTGGATAAAGAAGATGTGGTTTTTCTATAAAATGGAGTACTACTCAGCCATAAAGAATGAGAAACTAGAGACATTTATAGCTAAGTGAATGCACATTGAGGCCATACTCTTAGGTGAAATAAATAGGACACACATGTGTAAATACAGAAGAGTTTCTCTGGTGTGAAATACTAAAAGTGTAAATAAGGTTCAAATGATATAATTGATAATGTGAAATAGGAAGGAAAGGTCTAAAGGAGTTGGGGAAGTGGGAAGGATAGGGGAAAGGAAAGAAGGGAAAAGAAAAAAATATGAGAAAAGGAAAAAATGGAAACAAAGTCTCCGTAAATAGGGAAGGGTGGAGGGGCTGAAGGGAGGGCAGGGAAATGGGGAAAAAATAAGAACTAAGATATATCATGTAAAGGTACAAGATCCCAACAATGAATGTAACTGTATTTTATACCTAAAATGTACCCATAAACTTAATGAAAAGAAAAAAAAAAAGAGATGGGAGAAGAAAAAAATTTTACTGTCCTTTGCCTATTTTGAAAAGTTACTTTCATTAACTAGTTACTCAAAGAGCCTCCTTCCAACTGAAACCTATAACCCTAAGAGAAGTCTGAAGAATAGGGAAAAGGTATTTTTAACTGAAAGAGGCCATGGGGGGGATTAAAACAATATCTCCAGTTCTCTTGGAAAGTAAAAAATTCAGGATATCCCAATGAAAATCAACTTTTCCTGGAACCAAAGACCCATAAGTCTTTTAAATCAACTACACAACCTCTAGAGTAGATAAGACAAACTAGCTAACAAACTACAGCTGACAAGAAGCTGCCTGATCCAAGTAAAAAGTGGTTCCTAAATTATGCATGAATTGTGATCCAGAAATGGAATAAAGCAAATTAGGCATCAATAAAGAAACCAGCTTCACATTGAACTTGAAAGGCTATCTTGGAGACTTTGCTTCCTCTTTAAGGAACTACAGCTGAAGATTCAAGCTTCACCTGAGAAAACCAAAAACATCTAATGAATCTGGTGGGGGAGGTGTCATTCATTTATCTATCTGTCCATCCATCCATCCATCCATCCATTTATTGGTAAATGTACCCAGGCATTTCAGCAATAAAAGAATTGTCAATCAGAACCCAGGATGCTAATAACACTAGAGTCTGACAGCAGTTGACCAGTTGTTGTGTCCACTAGTTATTGCTCTCATTGCCCCGGACATAAGGAGCCCACATTGGACAGTGTCTTTGGATCAAAGCCAATGCATAGAACAGCTATATTAAAAACATATACTTACTGATCTACAAATTCTGCTGATGAGACACTCAGGTCCCATCTTTAGAAAGAGTAAACATTTCACTTAATGAAAGACCAGCACAATGCTACAAGTCTAAAACACATAAGTCATGACTCTCTAAGGAAACTCAGGAACTTTACTACTTCTTGGGCTTTCTAATCAGGATGATAGGGTGGTCAAGATCCAACTAGACACCCCTGTGAAGTATCCTCAATGTACACCTGTGTGTGAGCCCCATAGGGGGCCCAATAACTTGAGGTCTTGACTTACCTCATTGTTTTTGGTTTTTTTCCAACGTAGTAAGAATTGTATTGTAAAACATGAAGCACTCTGAGAGTCAGACATCCAGAATTCATTGCTCAAAATGAAGTAGTTAATCATTCCCTGTGCTGGGCAAGGTGAAGACCAGACCCAACAAATACTGTGCATGCATCCTCTCCAGGGCTAGTGTGACACAAAATTCAGTAATATCTCAAATTCCAAAGATGGTCAAAATCCAATCATATTTTAACATCCAGTGTATTCATTTCAATTTATTTTCTTAGTATATTTCCCAAATATGAGAAACAAATTACTTCCATGGACAGTGGAAATTTCTGAGCAAAGCTGAAATTCTCATTTTACCCAAGCCCTAGGAAATTTTAAAACCATGAAGACGGTCAGTTGGGAGTTAAATTTGTTACTGCCTTGTTGTTTACTAAATTTTCTTTCAGGGGGCCCTAGAGTTAGGACTTGGCATCAGGTAGAGGAATCCACAGGTATGTGACTACTTCTACGACCCAGCAGTACTAGTATCTCTAGTTGGTCATGAGAAACACACAGAAATGAGAAGTAACGTCTCTCTCTGATTCACTGCTGGGCACACCTGGCAAAACAACTGGAAAGGCTGGACAGTGAGTCATGCCGTTACAGAAGCAGAATGCAAAAGCAGCGGCAAAACATATAGCCACACTCTCTTCTGTGAAATAATTCTGGTTAGACTTAAGTACCACCTCAGGCTTCAGTGAATTCAGCCACTCACCAGCTCCTGAGAGAAGCCAGGTTCCATTATGTTGAACCACTGCCCTGAGAGGTACTCTTCCCATCCACAGACAAAGCAGTTATCAGTGTAAGCTGATACTGCACCTCTCAAAGCCCCAACACACTAAGCAGTACGGGGAAACTGAAATGTGTTAACACCAAGCTTTTTACTAAAAAAATCACTTAAGTCAAAACTGTTTTAAAGCAAATGCTCATGCCACTGAGAAATATTTTTTTATTTCCTTTAGGTTGCCAACTGGAAAAGTCTACTGTTTGTTCCCTTATTGCCTATATATTTACATACATGTTCAACCCTACAGTGGTCTGCCCACTAATGGCTGAGGTGACTGGGGTTTCTAGTTCTGGCTGACAATGTTTATTTTTCCAGCAGCCACCAAGAGGGCTGCAATTTAGTATATCAATGTTCCATGGCCTTCTGGTGTCACTGACACTATTCTAGAAGAATACAATGAAATAAAAAACCATGACTTCTTACCCTTTTCAGTATGGATAGAAATCCCAATTCCTGTTGATTCAATTATATTGTGGTAAATTTTCAATTATGTATAGTAATGAGAGTGAACAGCCAACTAATTAATCCAGAAGGCATTCTACAATCATTTAATTGGTTTAGAAACACATCATGATTGTGTTTGTGTGTGTGCGTGTGTGTGTGGCTGTGCCTTAGTTTATTTTACGAGGGCATTTTTTCCCCTCAGACCAACATTCATTCCTTTACTTAAGATCTATTCCATATTGGGAACCAAGCTAGGTGAAAATGTAGTACAAGGAGCTCACTAACCAGAGGAGAAAGATGCACACAAACAAGCTATGCTTACCCTGACAAGGGTATCAGAGAAGCAGTGATTTATTCTGCTAGATAGCTGGGAAAAGCTATACTCCAAAGAGCTTCTTATTTAGACAGTTTGCTAAATAATAGGCAAAATTGTGACTGGCTCTCAAATGAGTAAAATGAATTCTAAAGCACTAGCCCAAATGCAGCCCTAGAGGAAAGAGAGTTCGGGGATAAATGCAGCAACAGGAAGGAGAAAGCCAGCTAGGTAAATATCCTCACCAAGTCACACACAACAAAGGCAGAGTACCATTTTCTACCTTTCCTAGCAGAGATGTTACCCTCCATGTAAGGATTTTCTTTCTAATGAATGAGAACCCCGAGTGGTTATCAAGGTGCACTGTCATACAATTCTGGAACAACCTACCCGGCATGAGCAAATTAGGAACCAACTCCTTACCTGTATGAGATGCTTCTCAGTAAAATGCAGTAACTACAGATGACTGTACTCAGAGTCTATTTCCCAGTTTACCTGAAAAATAGGAGAAAGGCATGTCTGTTAACTTGGAGTGGCTCATCCTTTTCTGGTACAAATAAAGACCTTCAGATCATAGCTAGGGCTCACTGATCTCCCAGCAGAAAATCTGGCCAGTGTCACCTAACCAAGGGGTTGGACCAAACAGACTGAGGTGAGAATCCTGGTTTTAGTTCAGTGGCAGGATAACTGAGCCAGGTACTCAACCTACCTATGCCCTACTTTCCTCCCCTGGAACATACACCTCGCAGATGACTAAGAAGGCCTTCTATATGTCTGAAGACCCAGGAATGAATGACATATGTTGTGTTCCTTGCCCTTAGGGACATACAGGCCACAAGGATAGAGTAAACAAGTAGCACACATAACCTCAATACAGCTGATAGAAGCCCAAGCCCACAAGATAAGAAGTGACATAGGGGCCTGTGGAGAGGCACCAGCTGATCTCAGATGAGTCAAGGAAACTCCAGAGCAAATGACAGCTAAGCTGAGGCCTGACAAGCAGAAGTAGGCCAGAAGGGAAGACAAGCAAAGAGTAGAGAGCTGGCCCAGCCTATAACAAACACCAACACTGTGCTCAAGGCCTCACACTCCACAAGGCTTTGAAGCCCATTTCTGTTTAAAAGAAAATACACAAAGGTAGTTTTGCAAAGGTCTGGAACAATTCCTAGCCTTGCAGACTAATAGAGAGGACTGACCCAGCCTCTTCATGAGAATGGGGGTGCAAGGCTTCCCAAGCAATGTTGTCCACAGTTGTTTTCGGAACTCAAGCTTTGAGCAAAGTAGACACATGCTTCTCCTTCTAGATGTTTTCTCCCACCTAGATATAGAATCTGACCACTCCAGGAATGAAACAGTGAGGCCATCCTGGGAGGCTCCATGTGGTTTTATCGGAGAGTCAAGTTTCCTTCTGGGGCATGGAACAAACCCTGTGGTTACAAAGACATGGAGGCCAGGAAGCCAAAAAGTATTTCAGGATTCAGAAGAGCCCAGTTTAGCTGTCTCTCTGAATTTCTATCATTTCCCTCTCCTAAAAAATGTATATTTCTGTAAAGTGCAGGCTAATTCTTATATCCTTGTTTGTTTCTATAGCCTTTGTTTTTCTTTAGAAAAATGAAAAATAGGGTCCAAAACACAAAACAATGTTCAGCTCAACACAGATCATGAAGTCAATATACCTCTCAGCTTCTAGGGGCTGCCTCTCATGTCAAGGCCACATGGGTGGCTGAGCTGCAGGTCCTTAGGATAGCCACAGACCCCTAGTGGTACAGAGGAAGTGAGGAATTGTGGTAAACTCCAAGCAATGCTGCTGAAATCCCACTTGTCTCCCTATGGATTCCACCTTACATTTGCACACTGCAGCTCTCTAACCTCCTCACCTGCCCCTGCTATGCCTGCCCTGCCTTAGCTTCCTGCCACTTACCTCCAATCCCACCACACTGACCATTTCCCACTTTGTGTGTTTCATAAACAAACTTTGTCTCTAGGTGTGGCTGAGATGGATCCTGAATCTGTATAAGTGGAGGTTAATGCTGACATAATAATGTGGAAAGCTGATGTCTTAATCACGCAATTCACTTGGCTTTGAACCAAGCTGGCCCTGGGAGAATGGACGCCCATTTCTGGTCATGCATTATCTGCTCATTATCTCCAGGGTCTGAGCCAAAGTAGGAAAGAGGGTGAGAAAAGTCAGAATTAAGACCTTAAAGATTCTATGCAGAGGCCCACTGCCCACAGTCTAGTATCTCAGAGAATGCTCCCAGAGTACTTAGTAATCAGTGTCTGTAAAACTTGCCTAAAAATAAAGGCTTCACGGAACTAACTTCTTACACTGCTGACAAAGGACTGATTTGGTTCCATCCAAGATAAGAGACTCTCTGTAAGGACAAAAGCATGTTAAGATAAAAACAGAAGTGAATCCAACAGAACAGAGACAGCCTTTCCCAATCTAACACTTATGTACCCAAGAGGTAAACAGGTGCACGTATTTCTCAGCTATGGCCACTATGACAGGCTCAGGCAGATAGGTAATTACACTGACATTTCTCCAAATTGATCTTTCCAGAACCTGCCTGATCATTTCAAAATGGAGATTCTCAGGACTCACCCCAAAATGAGAAGTTGGAATCACAGGGGAGCAGCAGGGGCAGCTGTGTAGCCCCCACCCAGCAGAGTGTCAGGCAAGTTTCAGAATAATGCTCCAAATGAAACAATAGGCAACTTTTAAAAAACTTTGTAATCACATAACTTCAAAGTTACAGGGTATGTGGGAAAATGCAGGTTTAAATTGAAGGAAATTAGAGCCTTCTTTAGTTAAATCTTGGCAATATAATCAACATGTAAGGAGAAAGTCAGTTTAACTAAAAGTTAGCAAAAACAAAATATATTTAAAAATCTTTCCCCTAGAATTTCATCATGTTTCAAGAGAAACCCCTGCATAACCTGCCTAACCTAAGAAATCTCTGTACACTGCTGCTGGCAGGCCTTAGGAGGCCCAAAGCAACACCAGGGCTGAGGCCCTTGGTCTCACCTCACCAGAACCTGGGCCTAAGTAGCAGGCAACCAATTTCAAGTCAGACTCCGCAGGTCCCTCACAGCAAAGTTCAGCTGTTGCAGATCGCCACTTCCATCTGGCTATTCCCTGGTCTCAGACCCAGGTCAGATTCATGCAAACACTTGCCCCTCAAAAGTATGCTCCACAGGGTAAGCAGTATCAACATCACTGGGAGAGTTCATTAGAAATGCAGAATTCCAGGCCTCATAGGCTGCATTTTAATGAGATTCTGAGTGATGACGGTGCGTGAGTCAGAGAAGCCCCCCTGGGAGGGATGAGAGTACCAGTGTGAAGCTTTCACTTCACCTATCCTCTTTGGTTAAGCCTTGTCAGTCCTGGATTGTCTTGGGCCAGATCACCATCAGCAGGCCCAACGACTAGCTGACAATCTAAAGCTCAATTGTTGTAGTCAAAAGGAGACAGGAAGTACTGAATGTCTCCTTCATTCTCATCAGGTTCTTACATCTGCCTGCCTCAGAAGGCAGGAATATGAACTCTTGACCATAAATCAGTAGAGACAATCCAAAGTCAAACAATGCCATGGAATGCTGGCTCTTTTGGATCCAGTGCAATGTTAATGAGGTCGGGGTCATGGGTATGATTAGCTTCCTCTCGGTCTTGGCACAGACCCCAGCCCTCTGCCCTCCAGGCGCTAGCAAAGGCTGTTGCACCCTCGGTTACTAAGAGGACTTGAGGGCAATGACAAAAGGAAGCTGAGCAGAGCAGCACTAGTAAGTGACTCAAAGGACTGCAATGACTGATGTGCAGAATGTATCATGCAGCCCAGAGGGAAGGCTGGTATGAAGGTGACAGGGTCAGAATTTAAATTATCTGGAGAAGCTGGACATGCCAGACCTGAGAAAGCTGAAACTTTATGAGAAATGGGAAGTCCTGTGGTCACAATTTTTAAAATCAAGTATGTATATCTAAGCCAGAGCAAATTTAACTTCATGTAAATTCTTGTTTAAAAAAATCTTAAAACATAAAGGTTTTGTTGACCAAGGGGCTGCTAAGAAAGCCAGCATACTGTTAGGGGTCTACTTTCCAGATCAAGAGAAGCAGCAGTCTCCCCACAGCAGGGCTGATCAGACTATCCTAAAACAGCCTCAGCTGTCTGGCCACACAGGTGTATACACACCTTGTCACCCCTTCCACCACCACCACTATTTGAGATCTTATCCAGTGTGGCCTTTTCACCAGGACTGTCCCTGCTACAGCTCTTTTGCGGGTTGGATTACAGTTTATACACTCTACACATCAGCTCTGAGTCTTTGGCGCTGCCCTAACAAAAGAACTAAGAGAACTAAGCACAAGCTGGGGGGGGGGGGGCCACATGGACAGACCAGACAACCTAAGCACACCCACTTACCAAAAAGATTCAGATCAAAAATGACTTAGAGTCCCTGATTTAGCCAGCATACCATGCTCCATACTATAGCATGCATCCATGCAGAGTCAGTAATTAGGTCAGTAAATTATGAGCTTCCACTACAGTGGAATCCTGAAAAGACTGCTATAAGAATAAGCAAATGAAAGAGTATCTGTTTAGACATACCTCCCCACATAGAATCATCTTCTAGGAATGGACTGTTGGCCATTTAAATAAAAAGGATATGATTTTAGATTATTTTTAAGGTGGTGAGTCATGTTTGTTAAGTGTACATTTAATAAACACATGGTAGTCATTTATACATTCTGCTTACTGGTAAATTGTAATTCCCAAACTACCCAGCCTGTTATTTTTCATTTCAGAAAATCTGATCTCTGTGGGTAAGAGAAAAAAGTTAATTTTTAAGAAGTTATTTGGTCCTTAATAAGTGTGTGCCACACACCACTTATGTAAAGATTAAATGACACTAATATCAATTGCAGTTAGAGCCTTCCTTAAACAATTGGCTAAATACCTCAAAACTGGAAAACAACATGTGAAACTCAGCCCAACTGCAGCCTGCCCAGGAGAAAGGAAGCTTGAACTCCAGGTGCCCCTGACAACATGGCTCAGTGTGAAAGAAAGAAAATGCTGAACAATAGAATCAGTAGAGGAAAAGGAGCCCCTCTTAATTTTCCGGGTATGTGGAAAGGTTTTTGCTGAAGAGATATTTAAGATCCCACTGCTGGTCAAGTTCTACTGAACACCAGGACAATTAAAAAGGAAAAACCTAATGTGCTAGTATTGTACTTAATTCAATACATCTTTTCAATTTAACAGAAACAACTCTCAAACGAACCTTACGATGTTTATATCCACTCTAAGGAGTGCAATTTTCCCTACTGTTTGGAGGAAGTTGTCCCATTCTTGCTTTGGGTCACAGCACCCACTCCTTGATGCATTCCTGTAGCCCTCCAGCATTTGTATCTAAGTTTACAACAAGTAAGAATTTCAATTTTAGTTAGTAATATAGACAGATAATGGCTACACCACAGATGTAAAGAAGCAGATGGT